TTGGGGTGACGGCGCGATCCTGGAATGAGGGGAGAGGAAGAGGGGAGAGAGGAGGAAGAGGGAGAGAAAGAGGGAGAAGAGGAGAGGTGGGGAGAGGGGAAAAGAGGGGAAAAGAGGGAAGAGGGGGAGAGGGGAGGGGAGGGAGAGAAAGAGGGAGAAGAGGGGAGGGGGATAGGGAGGGAAGAGAAAGAGGGGAGGGAGGGGAGGGGAGAGAAAGAGGGAAGAGGAGGATAGGAGGGAGGGAGAGGGTACGGGAGGGAAGAGAGGGTAGGAATGAGGGGAGAGGAGGAGGGAGGGGAGGGAGAGGAGGAGGGAGGGGAGGGAGAGGAGAGGGGAGGGAGGGAAAAGGAGAGAATAGGGTAGGGGAGAGAAAGAGGGGAGAGGAGGAGGAGGAGAGGAAAGAGTGGTAAAGAGAGGGAGAGAGGGCGTGGGCGTGGAAGAGAGGGAATAAGAGGAAAGGAAGAGGAATAAAAGAAAGAGGGAAAGAGAAGAGAGGGAAGCGTAGATAAGCGTAGAAATGAGAAGAAAGAGAAGAAGAAAATGAGGGAAGAGGGAGGAGAGAATAGAAGGAAGAAGGAAAGAAGGGGAGAGAGGAGAAAGAGAATAGGGAAACGAAGAGAGAAAACAAAAGTAGTAGTAAGAGAAAATAGGGGAAGGATGGGATATGAAAAGTAATAAAAAGAAAGGGAGAAGAAAGAGAACGAAAGAGGGAAGAGAGAGAGAGAGAGAGAGAGAGAAACGAGAAGCTAAAAAAATAGGAGAAAGGGAAAGAAGATAGAATGAAATAATGAAGGAAGAAGAGAGAGGTGAGTGAAAAGGAAATAAGAGGAATAAAAAGAGATAGGAAGGGAGAATAAAAAGATGAAAGAAATAAATGATAACAAATAATGAAATGAAGAGAATGATGAGGAAGAGTAAAAAAAAGAGGAAAAGGCACGGAATTTGGAATAAAGGAAAAGAAAGAAAATACCAATAATAGAAAAGGAAAAAAAAGGAAAAACGAAATAAACAAAATGCAAAGAAAGAGAAAAAAAGAGAAAATGAATAAACAAACAAACAAAAAAAGAATATAAAAGAGAAGCAAAAAAAAATAAATAAAAGTAATACCAAAAAAAGAGCAAAAAAGAAAACGAAAATTACTGAAAAGAAGAACGAAAAAAAGGAAAAATAAAAAGTGAAAAAGTAATTAGGAAAATGAATGCAAATCGACGTTTGAATGCATCTTAAATTAAGAAAATATGGAACACAAGAGATGCGTAAGATAGGTCGAGAAAGAGAGGAAGAGAGGAAGAGAGATAAAAAATGATAATGAAAACGATGAAGGTGGTGATAATGAATATGTCCATTATGATGATGTTAATGATGATGATGATGGTGGTGGTGGTGGTAACGATGATGATGATCATGGGGATAATGGTGATTATGTTGGTGATGATAATGATGATGATGATAATGATGATTATATTGGTGGAGATGATAAAGATGATGATGATGATAATGGTGATTATATTGGTGATGATGATGGTAATGATGATGAAGATAATGATGATGATAAATATGGCAAAGATGTAGGCGTTGATGATGGTGTACATGATAATCATAATGATAACAAAGATAATGATCAATGAACAATCACAACAACAAGGGTTATGATAATGATAATAGCAACAGAATAATAGTGATAATGATAATAACAATTTTGATGATAGTGATAAAGTTTATAATAAGAATACTCATAATGATGACGATAATAAGGATGATAATTATGATGATAACTAGAGCATAATGATAATGATAGCAGTAGTAGTAGCAATTGTGACAATAATAGTGATGGTCATTATAATAGAAATAACAATAATATTACTAATGAAAATAATAATAGTAATAACAACAATGATAATAATGATAATAGCAATGATGATAATGATTATAATAATGATAGTAATGTAAATGATGTTAGTAATGATTGTAATAATAATAATGATAACAAAGAAAAGGATGATAATGATAATGATAATAATAATAATAATGTTAACGATGATAATAATAATAATGTTAATGATAATGATGATAACAATGATAATAATGATAATAATTATAATGTTAATGATAATAAAAATAATAATGATAAGGATAATGATAACAACAGTATTAGTAGTAGTGATGAATATAATAATAATAATAATGATAATGAATAGGATACTGATAATAGTAATATAAAGGATAAAGAAAAAAATGTTGATAATAATGAAAATGAGAAGAAGAAAAAGAACCATGATAATAATAATGATAATAATAATAATAATAATAATAATAATAATAATAATAATAATAATAATAATAATAATAATAATAATAATAATAATAATAATTATCATGATAATAATAACAATTATAACAATAATGGTATCAGTAATGATACTAAAGACAATGATGAGGATGATAATAAAAAAATACCTAGAAGCACTCAGAGAGCCCATACCTCACTGATGCAATAAAGACACTCATAATTAAATAATTACATCAAAATCATCTCTTTCTCAAGTACATTGGTGACGTCACTAAACATGGTGACGTCACTAAACATTGGTGACGTCACTTGGCGAAGGAAATGAAGATGATGATGATAATGATCTGGATGATAGTGATCTAAAATGACCAAAATATAATCGGATCTAAGTTAGGCTGATAAAAAAAGGAAAGGAAAGAAAGAAAGAAAGAAAGAGAGAAAAAAGAAAAAAAATCTGTTTATAACTTTTTGAGTTATCCTGCTAACCAACTAACAAACAAACAAACTAACTAACCAGCGCTACCAAAAACATAACCTCCTGAAGATATCCGCGAGATAAAAAAAAAAAAAAAAATCACAAAACCAAAAATTACGAAGAAAGGGAATAAGAAGGAAATAAGAATAATAAAGACAGAATAGGGAGAGAAAAGCGAAAAAGAGTAAAGCTGCTGCTAAAACGGAAGACACGACGGAATGGATGATGGAAAGAAATTGCATTTACATACATGTATATGAATAGATATTTACATACGAACATATACTCACACATTGATGGATTTATGTATGTGGAGAGGAAGGTGTGTCAGTGGGAGCGCGCGCGCGTGCGTCTCGGAATGAATATGCATGTATACATACACATACATACACATATAGATACCAAACTATGTAAAGGAATATATATACACAAACACATACACACACACATACACGCGAGCGCGCGCGCGCGCGCGCGTGTGTGTGTGTGTGTGTGTGTGTGTGTGTGTGTGTGTGTGTGTACATATATGTATATATATATATATATATATATATATTATATATATATATATATATATGTATGCATATATATATATATATATATATATATATATATATATATATATATATATATATATATATATATATATATATATATATATATATATGTATGTATGTATGTATGTGTGTGTGTGTGTGTTCACATAACAGCATCAAAACAATAACAAGATCACTTCTCTTGGAGAAAAAAATAAATTGATGACGAAGAATGTCAATTTATTTTTACATTTATTCGTCTCTCTATCCAATGTATATTCCTTTACTATCTATCTCTTTATTATCCATTGTCTATTCATTATATATTTATGATCTATTTATTTATGCATAAAGCATATGAGGATGAAGACAGGACAACAACAACTGCAGCAACAAACAAACAAAAAATAAATAAACAAGAAAAACAAGAGCAGCAAAATATTGTAAAAACAAACAAACAAAGCAACAACAATAACAACACACTCAAACAAATAAAATAGCAAACAAACAACGGCCACGAAAACAACAACACCACATGCAGGACAAACAACCAAATATATGAAAAGAAAAAACAATAGCAAACAAAAATAACAATAACAACAACACATAATCAAACAAAAAAACAAAGACACAACCAAACAAACTGACACACAAACAACAACAATAACACGACGCAAAAACAAAACAAATATAAACACACAAACAAAAACAACACCCCACCACCACGCAAAATAACAAACAAACAAACAAACAAACGAGAATAATTCACCACCTACACCACCAAACAAAAAAAAAACAAAAAACAAACAACAAACAACAAAACACACCCCAAAAAATCCCAACCAAACATAACCAAAAAACCAAAACATACAAACACCAACAAAAACAACACCACCAAAACAAAAAACACTCCCAAACAACAAACAACAAACACAAAAACAAACACACGCCCCCTCTAATGGCGACCGAAGCGGCCCCAACTACTCCACAACCAGCTAATAACCACAAAGCAAAGACTGGCTCCTTGCAAGACTAGACTAGCTCCTTGCGCCTCCGTCAGCACCGCGTCAAAGGAATCGTAAAATAACAAACAAACAAACAAACAACGAGAATACTTCACACCCACACCACCAAACAAAAACAAAAACAACAAGAACACACCACCAAAAAAATCCCAACCAAACATAACCAAAAACAAAACATACCAACACCAACAAAAACAACAACACCAAACCAAGAAACAACTCCCAAACAAAAACAAACAAAACAAAAACAAAGCAAACAGACACACAGACAAACAACAAAAAACACCACCACCAAAACAAAAAACACTCCCAAACAACAAACAACAAACAACAAACCAAAACAAACACAAGCCCCCTCTAATGGCGACCGAAGCGGCCCCAACTAATGCACAACCAGTTAATAACCACAAAGCAAAGACTGGCTCCTTTCAAGACTAGACTAGCTCCTTGCGCCTCCGTCAGCAGCGCGTCAAAGGAATCGTAAAATAACAAACAAACAAACAAACAAACAAACAACGAGAATATTTCACACCCACACCACCAAACAAAAACAAAAACAACAAGAACACACCACCAAAAAAAATCCAACCAACATAACAAAACAAACACAAACACCAACAAAAACAACACCAAAAAAACAGACAAAAACAACAACACATAGAACAACAACCAAAACAAAAACACTCCCAAACAACAAACCAAAACAAAAACAAACACCACTCCCAAACAAAAACAAAAAAACAAACACAAACAAACGCCCTCTAATGGCGACCGAAGCGGCCCCAACTACTCCACAACCAGCTAATAACCACAAAGCAAAGACTACCTCCTTGCAAGACTAGACTAGCTCCTTGCGCCTCCGTCAGCAGCGCGTCAAAGGAATCGGTATGTGAGAAGGAGATGGAGTTCTGTCGCCTCTTCCTTGGGGGGGGGGGGGCGGTCTGGAAGTGGGTGGCGTGGGGTGGGTGGTGGTTGGGGGGTGGGAGGTGGGGAATGTGGGGGTTGGGGTGGGTGGGTGGTTTGGTTGGGGAAATGGGTGGGTGGGTGCGGGTGGTTGGTGGGGGGAATGTGGATGGGTGGGTGGTGGTCTGGTGGGTTGGTTGGGTGGTGGGTGGGTATGTGGATGGGTGGGTGGGGGGAATGTGGATTGGGTGGTGGGTGCGTGAAAGGGTGGGGGTTGGGGGGTGGGGGAATGTGTTGGGTGGTGGGGGAATGTGGATGGTTGGGGTTGGTTGGGTTAGGGGATATGTGGATGGGTGGTTGAAGTGTGAGATAAGGATGTGGATGGTAGGGCTAGGGAGTGGATGGAAGGGGGGGTAGGAGTGATGGTGGAGGAGAGTATTGGAGGAGTAAGGGAGTGTAGATTAGCTTATGTAAGGGAGAGGGAGGAATGAAGGGACAGGGAGCTCTATAATTTCTTTTTCTTTCTTTCTTTCTTTCTTTTTCTTGGGAGAGGGGGGGGGGGGGCTGTGGACGTGGGTATATATGAAGAAAAGGGAAAGCAGTTATATGTATCTGAGAACATTATGTGTATCCAAGTGTGTCTATGTGTTTTGTCGTCTTTACGTACCGTGTGGATGTGCTTTATATTAACTTCTTTCTTCTGTCTTCTTCTTCTTCCTTCCCTTCTCCTTCTCCTTCTCCTTCTCCTTCTCCTTCTCCTTCTCCTTCTCCTCCTTCTCCCTTCTCCTTCCTTCTCCTTCTCCTTCTCCTCCTTCCTTCTTTCTTCTTCTAATTCTTCTCTTTTTTTTTCTTTTTCTCCTTCTCCTTCCTTTTCCTTCTCTACTCCTTCCTTCTCCTCCTCTTCTCCTTCTCCTTCTTCTTTCTTTTTTTTACGTGTATGTCAGTTACACGTGTAGCCGCGTGTGTGTGTATACCTGCGTGCGCGTCTGTGTGTTTTAATGGAAAGGAATCTGGCTAATTGCAAGACGCTGCGCCTGTTTGTGTCTATTAAGGCCACTGGAGAGAGGTAATGGGGGAGGGGGAGGGGAGGGAGGGGGAGAGAGGATGGGGGAGGGAAGGGTGGCAGGGGGAGGAGGTAATGGGGAGGGAGGGGAGGGAGGGAGGAGAGAGAGGGGTGGAAGGGAGGGAGAGGGAGAGGTGGGTGAGGAGGGGAAGGGAGGGGAAGGGGGGGAGGTAGGGAGGGGGAGAGGAAGGGGAGCAGGGGAGGGTGTGTGTGTGTGCGAGATGGCTATATAAGTCTGAGTGAGTTTTTTTTTTTTTATGTTGTTGTTTAGAGGATGGGGGGGGGGGTAAGGGGGGGGCGGGGTCATTATATGTATATATATTTTTTTCTCTTCTCTTCTTTTTGTTTCTTTTCTTCCTTTTTTTTATTCTATTTCCTCAGAGTAATGAATGGGTGCTGAAGTGATAAGCAGATATATATATATATATATATATATATATATATATATATATATATGTATATATATATATATATATATATATATAAGACAGAAAGAGAGAGAGAGAGAGAGAGAGAGAGAGAGAGAAGAGAGCGAGAGAGAGAGGAGAGAGGAGAGAGAGAGAGAGAGAGAGAGAGAGAGAGAGAGAGAGAAGTATTGATTGCTGCATAAATAGACTGATAAGCAGATATACTGATAGACAGATAGATAGATATGATTTACAAACAAACCTCAGAATTGAAAAGAATTGATAAGAATACAAAAAAATTCCTTGCTTCCCGTCCTTTTCTCACTTCTTCTCCTCTTTTCTACTATTTTCTCTTCTTTATCATTTTCCCATTTCTCTTTCTATATTATTTTTCTTTCCCCCACGACTGCCTTTATCCTGCCCTTTATCTTAATTTCTTTCTTCTCCTTTTATTCTATTTTCGTTCTCTCTCCTGTTTTCCTTCCTTCTCTCTCTCTCTTTCTGTTTTCTTCTGCTCTCTTCCTTCAGACTGCCTATCCTCCCTTTTATCCTAATTTCTTTTTTTCTCCTTTTATTCTATTTTCTTTCATTCTCTTTCTCTGTTTTCCTCCCTTCTCTCTCTCTCTGTTTTCTTCTCTCTTCTTCTAGTTCTTTTTCTCTTTCTTTCTCCTTTTATTCTATTTTCTTTCATTCTCTCTCTCTGTTTTCCTTCTCTCTCTCTCTCTTCTTTTCTGTTTCTTCTTCTCTCTTTCTAGTTTTTTCTCTTTCTTTCTCCTTTATATTTTCTTTCATTTTCTTTCTCCGTTTTCCTTCCCTCTCTCTCTCTCTCTCTGTTTTTTCTTCTTCTCTCTTCCTCTAAATCTTTGCTCTTTCCTTTTTTATTTTCTTTCCCTTTGTATTTATATTTTCTTCTCCTCTGCTACTCTTTGTCTTCATTTCTTCATTCTTCTTTTCCTTTCCTATCTTTTCATCTTATTTCACTTTCTATGTATTCTCTATGTTTCCTTTTCTTCTGTACCCTCTTCGCAGTTATTACTCTATTTTCTTATCCTTCCTTTTTCTGTTATCTTTCTGACTCCTTCTCCGTTCTCTCTGCCTTTTCCTTTTTTGTTTTCTTTGCCTGTTTTCTCTTCTCTCTACTTCTATATTTTCCCTTTTTTCGGTTATATTTTCCCTTCTTCTTGTTTTCATTTATCTCCTTCTCCATTACTTTTTTTTCTTTCTCGTTCTCTTTTTCTTCATCCTATCCTTATCTACTTTCTCTCCCCGCTTCTTTATTTTCTTCATGTTTGCCTTCTCCGTTTTCATCACCCATTCCTTTTCTATGCTCTTTCTTTCTCCTTATCTACACACTTCCTGTCTCCTCTGCTTTCTTTCCCTTCCCCTTTTCTATTTTCTTCTCCCTTTCCTCCTATGCTGCCTTCTCTTTCGCTATTCTCTTGCCTTTCCTTCTCTTCTTTCTTCTCCCTCTCCTTCTCTGTTTTCTTCCTGTCATCTCTACTCTCTTCCCCCTTTCATCTTTTTTCTTCGCTCTCTTCATTCCAACCCCTCTACTTTCTCCTCTCCATCTCCTTCTCTATTTTGTTTCCCTTCTCTTTCTCTATATTCTTCGTCCTCTTCATTCCCCTTCCTTTATCCCCTCCTTTTCCTTCTCTATTTTCTCCGCCCTTCTTTCTCTATCTCCTGTCCTTTCCTTCCTCTCCCCTCCCATTCCTTCTCTATCTCTTCCATCTCCTTGTCCTCTCCCTCCCCTCCTCCCCCATCCCTCTTCTCCTTCTCTATCTCCTTGTCCCTCTCCATTCCCCCTCCTCCTCATCCCTCTTCTCCTTCTCTATCTCCTTGTCCTCTATCCTTCCTCTCTTCCCCTCCCATTTCTTTCTCTATCTCTTCTATCTCCTGTCCCTCTCTCCTCCTCCCCCATCCCTCTTCTCCTTCTCTATCTCCTTGTCCCTTTCCCTTCCCTCTCCCCACCCCCTCCTCCTTTTTATTTCCTTCTCCCTCTCCCTTCCCTATCCTCTATCTCCCCCCTTTTCTTTCTCCATCTCCTTGTCCCTCTCCTCTATGCTTCCCCCCCCCCCTCTTCTCCTTCTCTAGCTCCCTGCCCTCTCCATTCCCTCCCTCCCCACTCCCAACCCCTCTTCGTCTCCTTCCCTATCTCCTTGTCCCCCTCCATTTCCTCTCCCCCCCCATCTCTTCTATCTCTCATCTCCCTGCCCCTCTCCCTTCCCTCTTCCCCCACTCCCACCCCCCTCTTTCTCCCCCTATCTCTTGTCCCTCTCCCTCCCTCCCACCCAACCCTCTTCGTCTCCTTCCCATCTCCTTGTCCCCTCCCTCCTCCCCTCCCACACTTTCTCTATCTTCTATCTCCTTCTCCCTCTCCTACCCCTCTCATTTCCTTCCCTATCTCCTTGTCCCCTTCCCTCTTCCCCCATCCCACCCCCTTCTTCGTCTCCTTCCTCTATCTCCTTGTCCTCTCCTTCCTCCCCCCTCCCACCCCTCTTCGTCTAATCTCTATCTCCCTTGTCCCTCTCCCCCTCCCCCCACTCCATCCCTTCCTCCTATCTCCCTGTCCCTCTCCCTCCCTCCTCTCCTCCCACCCTCGTCTCCTTCCCTATCTCCTGTCCCTCCCTCCCCCCCCTCCACCACCCCCTCCCTCCCCTCCCATCATCTCCTTCTCTATCTCCTTGTCCCCCTCCCTCCCTCCCCCTCCCTCCGCCCCCCCCCTCCAGCAGCGACGGCGGCGGCGCGGCGGCGGCGTCCCTCCTCTCGCCATGACATAGATCAATACACAATCATTCACATATAACGACTTTCCAAATGACCCTGTCCGCTGATTGATAAACATTTTTTTTATTTCGCTCATAGTATAGCTCAATAATAGGCTTAATTTGAATTTAAGCGGCTGGATGAAACGGCCAACGTAGTGTGCACGTCAGACGGATATATACAGGTGTGAAAAACAATTAATTTTTTTTTATCATTTTTTTTTTTGGGGGGGGGGTGGGGGGGTTACAGGGGGGGAGGAGGAGGAGGGGTAGGTGGTGGTTACAGGGGGGAAGGGGGAGGGGAAGGGGGAGGGGGGAGTATCTCTTTTTTGTGGCGTAATCATTTGGCAGATATGTGTAATGTTGTGTTGGTTTGTGTGTTATAGTTTTGTTTGCATATCCGTGAGTTTATTTGCGTGTGTGGCTATTGCATGCTTGATCGTTTAGTTGCATTGATGAGATATATTGCGTGTGTTTTTTGAGCTGGTTTGCCTACACGTACAGCTAAAGCAAATACAATACAAATTCATATATAGATATAGATACATATACATATGTATGTATATGTATACATATTCATACATATATATATATATATATATATATATATATATATATATATATATATATATATATATATATATATATATATATATATATATATATATATATATATTATATTATATTATATATAATATATATATATTATATATATATATATATTATATATATATATATATATATATA